CTGGCCCAATACTGGCATGCCGAAGCTAGGTTTCCCATTACTGGCTCAAGCTTGGCCCCTTTGTCAAGTCTGGCGGTCTCCTACACGGGATATTATACCGAAATTTATTTTTAAGTGTTTTTTCTTGTAAATTTAGAGGTTGTTTGAAGGGTTTTAGTGTTTTCATGAGATTGAAAAAGATTTTATTGCATGGTAAATGTATTAAAAAATACTTTTTAATTGTATCCTTTAATATTAAAAATGTTTTCTAGCGATAAAATGGCCCAATGTCCGTATATGAAAGGGTCGCAACCCCCCGGGGGGATGGTGGCGAAGACATTTTTAACTTTTGAACTTGAGGGTAAGATGAACCTAATGGTCCGAGAGAGCTAGCAACGTTTTCGAGAAAGAATTTTAGTCAGGCTGATTTTTTGGTATGTGGTCCTTGGGGTCTCGGTTAGGGTCGTCTGGCAGCTGGGAGTGGTTGCGTTTATTAGTGCGCAGCCAACTTGTACAGTGCGATTTTGAAATTTTGAAACCATTTTAGTCAGTTCAATTTTAATTTTTTCGACTTCGAATATGTTCACTAGATTCACATTTTTTGTTACCAGACATTTTGAGCGCTGCTAATTATGTGTCAGACGCCATTTTTTTTTTTAATTTTAAATCATTTTAGTCTGTATGAAATTTTAATATTATGTTCGTTAAGGGTAAAAACACGTAACATAAATTTGTCAGACGTTTCTGCGGGTTGAGGTTATATCCTTTTTTTCCTCTCCGTTTACTGCACTACCGGTACTCATCAAGCTCACGATTCGTATCCATCTCGCTGCGATCCAAATGATACTTGGCTCGTTACAGATTTTCCTTCTGAACGAATACATCTTTTGTTTTTTGTGTATCTACTTTTATAAATATTGTTATTTGGGTTTTTTTGAGAAAATGTCTCCTTTCCTCATTTTTTTGTCACACAATTACGTCACGACTTTTATATTTTAAATATTAACTATTGTTTTTAAAAATCCGATTGACATGAAAAATATCATGTAGAAATTTATATCTTTTGAGATATATTTGTTTATAATTATTATTATCTCGCTGCGATCCGATAACGCCTGGTATTTGTTTTTTTAGTAATGAACTCGTTAATGCATCCATATCGATGCCCTACGGCATTTTCCGAGGCTCGCGCCCGGGAATTTTCGACGATTATTTTGTATTGGACTCTGAATTTATTAATGTTAAAAAATACTACTGATTTTCAAAATTTAGAATAACACTCTCTAATAGATGCTTACTTCCTTACAATTAGCAACCCCAATCCGGGGTTTTAAATAAAAGTAGCGAAAGGCACTTTCACCTTTAAAATTTTGAATCGGAATAGGAACAAGCCCCTGTCACTTTTCGCTTTCTTCAAACGGAATAACGGAATATAATATATCAGATATTACGCTGAATACACTTTGATCTTAGCCATTCGGCCGAGAAGCGATCGATGATCCATTTTCTTATAAGCACATCGAAAATGTTTTTTTAACAAGTGCGATTTTATCGTTTGCGATGAGAATTTGCGTTAATTAGTTTAGAATAGAATTATCAGAATGGTGCAATTTGCCCGCGTTTTTGCAAATAATCCTAAAGCTATTTTGAATTATAAATACTTTTGAAATATATTAGTATTAAGATTAGATTAGTTACGATCATTAGTTTTGGTAAAAATCAGGCAGGCGTAATTAAATGTCATATATTTTTTTGCGCTTTCAGTTTGTTAATGGTCTCTCAAACTAAACGATCATAACATGATGGAATTGAAAATCGGGCAATTGGGAATGAGAGATCGTGTTTGTGCACTATAACTAAATAGATTAAAGATGCTATAAGTCTTATTGAAATATATGAACTGGAAACTGTAAATTTGTGCAACTTGCTTTAAAGCAAAATGCCACCTACAGCTAATTTAAATTTTGATTTTAAAATGCCCACACTTCACCTGCCCTAAGTATTGCCATAATTTTTGCAACGCACATGCACATATGCATCAATTGTTTTAAACAATAGTTTAAATTGTTTGCATGTCAAAATGTTCAGTTCTTGTTTTTTGTGATTACTCTTACTTACACCGCGGAAAGTTGAAAAATAATGTTTATAATTTTACTTCTATATGTTAGTTATATTTTTTATGATGGTACAAATAATTATTTAAACTTTTTAATAAAATAAGAACTACGTTACTTTATATTTTTCTCTCTGGCTGATTAATCAAATTGATAAGAATTGGTATATTCTAAAAAGGGCCTCAAAATATAATGCACAGATTCGTGCAACAGATCGGTGCCAAGAGGAATCCATTAGGATTAGGATATTTGATTTATTCTCGCTGTTCTGATTGCAGCACTTTGTAGACTTATTATCATAAAAAATTATTGGTGACTATTTTTTAACTTTCCGTAGGGTAAGTGATAGTAATCGCAAAAAATGGAAAATGAAAATCGTTATATATCTTTACGTTTTCAAGGTTTTTGAACATTTTGACATACATTGGAAAAAATGTATGTATTTCTGTGTGAATGTGTGTTTGTGTGTGTGTGCGAATACAAATCTTGGTTGACTATTTCGGGAACACCGATCAACCGATTTGAATAATTTAACTAGTTGGTATTGGTATTTTACCTTGAAGCAAGTTACATGAACTTCCCGATATGTATAATTAATCGACTTACTCAATAAAAAATAAATTACTTTATAAGTGATTAAAAGTATTCCGAGTGGATTTATTACACATAATTGAAAACAAACGAACACGATAATTCGGAGTATTTTCTAAAAGCAAATTTTCACATATCAACAATTTTTATAATTGAACCAGTTTCCGTAGGACTTTAATGATATCATATGTTCATTAAGACCAAGTACTCTATCGTTATACCAAATAAATCGTCTAATTTTAATTTTAATTTTAACAAACGTCAAAAAAACTACTAATTTACTCAAACTTTGATGAATTTTTAAAATTAAACTACTTGTGGCAAGGCCGTAATATTTCAGTAAGGTCTATAGAACCATGATATATATCGCCAAAATAAGTTTAATAAAAATCGACTTAATTTTTTTTTCAACAATTAATTACAAGAAAACGGTTACCTAAAACTAATCAGTATCATTCCCATCCAATATCTTTCGTAGAGTTTTTGATTTTTAAAATCGATTCGGTAGTATGAGCTTAAAAGTTTAACACTTTTTTCCAAATCACAAAGAAACGGTTCGGCAGATCGTCTCACAAAACTGACAAACGATAATCCTCATCGAGATATATCAAATGGTTTTTAAATTCCTGAAATCGGTTCAGGCGTTTTTGACCAAACGTCGATGAAAGGTCTAATTTTGACAAATGCCAAAAAAACGATACTAATTTTTTCAAACTTTGACGAATTTTTAAAGCTAAACGAGTTGTCGTATGGCCGTATTATTTCAGTATCATCTAGAAGACTATGATATCTACCGTCAAAAAAATAATAATGAAAATCGTCGAAAAAAAAATTTTCCATACTTTATTACAAGAAAACAGTCCGGCCGATCTCTACCAAAAACTCATCAGCACGATTCCCGAACAATATTTTTCGAACGGTTTTTAAATTTTCAAAATCGATTCAGAACAGCGGGATAAAAGTTGGACGAAATTTTTTGCTATTTACAAAGAAACGGCTTGGCTGATCGTTGAGCAAAATTGATAAACGCTAGTCCTCATCGCGATACATCGAATGGCTTTTAAAATTTTGAAATCGCTCCGGCCGTTTTTGAGAAAACGTCATTTTACGGCAAAAAAATTGTACATTTATACACACACAATACTTTTTTCAACTTTGGTCTCATTCGATACAGAATGGCTTGAAACGACGATAAAACATAAAATTAGCGAATCGGATTTTTTGATGAAAACATAAACTTCTTCTTCGGGAAGTTAATACTGTCGACCGGACACCGTAAAGTTCAGATCTGGTCTCGTGTGACTTATTTCTCCTCCTAAACTAAAACTGGAACACCGGTCGAACCTGTTTTATCTTCATACCGACCATAAAACAGACTTTGAGGAGATTTTTGAATCATTCAAATCGGACGCTCGGTTCTCTCAAAACTGAGTACCCACTTTCGCCCCCCGCATCTTCGAAACTACTGTACTTTTTTCAAAACCTTCCCATTATAAGGAATCGAATTTTTTTTTAACTATTCAGATCAGAGGATCATTGATCTCGTAAACATCGGCGAAAATTTGAATCCGCACATTCATACATATTACACACATACATACACACACACGCGCGCACTCATACATTCATTTTTCCTGAGGTATGCCAAAATTTTTTGATACGTAAAGATATGCAAATATTTTTATTTCTGATTTTTTTACGATTACTATATTTTACCTTACGGGAAAATTTAAATAATTTAAAACAAACGCTTTTTTTAATTACTACTAAAAAGAACGAAAGCTACGTAGCACTATATTTTTGTACTAGCTTTTCTTTATATAGTAGTTTTTAATTACTTTTAATATTAATTGATAACGATTTTAGGATGTGTTTTTTATTTTAGTTGCTCGCCAAGGCGAATTTGAAAGAGTTCAACTACCTTGCTTAGATTCTACGTCAGGTTACACTACTATCTCTTTATGTGGAAATCCTCGGAAAAGGAGTTCTTTTATTGGATCGACTTGTAAACGGGCCAAAATGGATATATTGGAAAGTGAACAATTGAATGAAAATCACATTGTCAATATTATTAAAATTATTGATGACCCAAACTATATAACCGGTCCTGAGGTTCGTAAAATTTTAATAGATTTGATTATAAAATAATAGAAATTAAACCGAATTCTATAAAAATCAATACATTGGGAGCAAATAATAATACATATTCACTAATTTTAAAAATTTAATTTATTCTAGAATGAAACTGTATACAAATATTTTTTTATGAATGAACCAATTTATTACGATCGGACGTAATAGTCTAAGAGCCAGTGAACTATTTGACTCACCTGTTTTCACGCTAGAAATTTTTTAAATGATATTTTATTATCCGTACATTAAGAAAGTGCCGTTCTGGCAGGCATCTCGCGGTTGCGTCATCATCCCTCGAATTTTTGAAAATGTAAAAAAAAAATTCTTTTAACTTGCTTTCACAAGGCTATAATTTTAATATGGTGTTATTTATGTATGTTTAAGTACAAAAAAAATTGACAGCCTATTCGGACGGTTGTAAGCGTATGCCAGTCGATTGCAAAGTTGTCATCGGGATAGTAATTCATAACCAGCTTCCACATGGTTAAAATTTTGAGGGTGTATTCTTTCAACTGTTTAGAAAGTATATGTAAATAGCCAGCCCATTCAGACGGTTGCAAGGGTCTGCCAGTCGAGTACAATAGCCATAAAACACGATAGGATAATGCCCACAATTGTAAGAATTGCATTGTTAGAAGGAAAGAGTGCATCTATTGTACTGTAGATGGATATGAGCGACTGAAATGAAAACTGTCTATACCTAATAAAATTATAGTTAACAACTAATATAACTTGAGTTGTGATCGACAACGGTCTTAAGTAAATTATTTTTTGTCGTATTATATAAAAATTACATTAACAAAAAATTAATAGTCGTTAGTGCTGGTGTTAATTATGGAGACAGTGAAATTAATTTGTGTTATATGTAGACTTGATACTTGCCAAAAAAACAATAAAATTTACATCTAAGTCTATGGCCAGATGCCATGAAATTTTGGAAATTAGAAAATTTCATAAATTAAAATATGCAAATGTTGTTTTACCTAAAAGTGTAAGTGATTCAGTAGGATATCATGTTAAATGTCATAAATGTTTTGTCGCAGTCATGAAGAAATATTTGGAAATACCAGTGCAAGGTAAATATATTACACAAATATGTATTTATAGATAGATATAGTATTACACAATAATTTTATATTGTATGTATTAGATCGATGCAACACATACGTGTAATCGTTGATTGATTCCTATAAATAACATAAACATATGACAATAACAACATACTTTTTGATAAATATTCAGAAAGACATTCAATAAGTGTTCATTTATTATCCCAAAAGTCGATAAAGTTTAAATATACAATTTCGAATTCATCTCTGTTCATCGACAACGCTCGTCGAGTAAATACCTTATCTGCATTGCAGTTTATTGCGTAATAGTGACGCATAGTGATTCATTTATATTCAAGTGATAGACGATTATTTCATCATGGTTTAATAATTGTTCTAGTACATTTTTTTTCAAATTTAGTGTTTAATTTTTTTTTTTTATAATTATATCGTGAATAGATTTTTTTTCTAATAGTTCAAACTTGGATAAACCTAACTGTGCCTCTTAGGGGCTTAATATGGAAAATTTGTCAAACATTCAAGCTGTCGAGTCGAACAATATATTAAATGACGATTCGATGACAAATGCGGAATACGCAGTGCATCACCTACAACATAATCAACCACAGATATCCCAAATAGATAATATTCAGTCAGCACCTTCGATGACAAATGCGGAATACGCAGCGCTTCAATTACAAAATCAACCACAGATATCCCAAACAAATAATATTCAGTCAGCTCCTTCGATGACAAATGCGGAATACGCAGCGCTTCAATTACAAAATCAACCACAGATATCCCAAATAAATAATATTCAGTCAGCACCTTCGACCTCTTCGATGGATTCTTCAATGGATTCGGATTCAAATTTAAATCCCTGGCAAGTTGTGACAGGTGTAAAACGAAAACGTGCGATAAATGTAAGTGAGAATTCATTAAAATTAAACAATATATTCAGCGCACTAGAAAATGAAGCCTCTAACTCCAGCTCTCAGCCTTCCATTATTAATAAAGCATTGCTACCACCGCCCGTATTTATTTATGGAGTGAATAATTTTAGAGAAATGGTTGATGTTTTGAACAACGTAATTGATAAAAATAAATACTCAATAACAATTCTGGCTAATAACATAATTAAAATTAATGTGTCTTCGGTGGAAGACTATAGAACATTCGTAGCTTTTTTGCGGAACAGAAAGATTGTGTTTCATAATTATCAGATTAAATCTGAAAGATCATACAGAGTAGTATTGAAGTACATACATTTCTCCACAGACAAAGAAGACATTAAACGTGAAAAGTACGTAATATTACTAATGTTTTGCATTTCAGAACGAAAAATCTGCTCAATATGTTTTATATCGACTTGGAACCAAACACTTATAACTTCACAATTTTTAATTTAACAAAAATATATCAAATAATCAAATAATACATTTTGAGCCACCCCAAAGGTCAGCCATCGTACAATGCAGTAGATGTCAATTGTACGGGCATACAAAAGCTTATTGTAACCGGCTTTATGTCTGTGTCAAATGTGGAGATAATCACATAACATCTAAATGCACTAAGCCAGTTGAGACTGCAGCAGTTTGTGCCAACTGCTTTGGCCCACATCCTGCAAATTATAAAGGATGCCCATATTATCAAAAAAGTAAGTAAAGTCAAAAATTCTGCAAACAATACTTTTCCAGTAAATAATAATCACCAATCGAATAATAGAAATATAAATTCTGCTAACAATAAAACGTACAGAATCGCCACCACTAATCATTTGTCATATGGCCAGGCTATGAAAGGTCAACAATCGAATTTAAATAACTCACCTGTTTCTCAAGAACCTTCTTTAGTTCAATTTTTAAATGAATCTAAAGCTATGTTCAATCAACTAATGCAACAAAACTCGATGGTATTAAATATGCTATCGACCATCATCAATAAATATAAATAATGGCTAAATTCATCAGAATATGCTTATGGAACTCAAACGGTTTGACCCAACATAAGAACGAGATGAAGTTTTTTTTAATAGAAAATAAAATTGATATCCTTTTAGTAAGTGAAACCCATTTCACTGGTTCTCCAACGTATTGGCCCATCGATCCCAGAAAGCAGCCTGATTTATTGGATTTTTTTATAACTAATGTTATAAACCCATCTTACGCAGAAGTATATTCTAGTTATGATCTTTCTTCCGACCATTCGCCAATAATAGCCAGTATCAGTTCAACGTATTTGAATTTTTCTCGCAACCCAAGATTTTGCAACAACAAGACAAACTGGGAAATATTTCGTACTAGAGTTGAAAACAATATAAATCTTCAAACAAGGTTGAAGACTGAGACACAAATTGAAACTGCAATCGAATTACTTAATAAAGTTATTCTTGAATCATCTAGTTTTGCAACACCTGATATTGCAAAATCGTCTCATTCAGGTATATCATTGGAGATTAAAAGGTTAATAGCCAATAAAAGGAAAGCCAGGCGAAAATGGCAAAACAGCCACACACCCCAAGACAGAAATATTTTAATAATCTGAACAATAAGCTCAAAACTAGGCTTAAAGAATTAAATGATACTAGTTTCGCCAACCACGTGTCTAACCTCAATCGCTTTGACAATTCTATTTGGCGTCCCATTAAGTCTAGAAATAAGCCGTGCATCAGAAATCCACCTATACGAAATGATACAGCCGGTTGCTGGGCAAGAGATGACAAGGAAAAAGCAGAACTTTTTGCTGAGTATCTTAGTTCAGGTTATATAATATGAAAATAAAAAAAAAAAGAATTCATCTCTACTTATCATATTATGCAAACTGAAGACTTCCAAATAAATATCCATAGAAAGCTGTATCAGATAAAATCCAAATGTATACTTTTTTATAAAAAAAATAATCTTTCGCTTTTAAAATGAATCAGTCTTCGGTTAATAAATCAATAGTTTAAAATCAAAATAATTTACTGTGCATTACAATTCAATTTGAATAAATTAAATTTATTAACTTTCCGTAGGGTAACTTATAATAGACCGAAAATCGAAAATGAAAATTTTTGCATATCTTCAAGTATTATTAGCAAATGATGAAAACATAAACTTTTCTCTGGGGAAGTTAATAATGAATATAATATAATATAATAACTAGTGGTATATGGCATCGTGCCAGACAAATTGCTGGCACTTCCCGTACCTTAATGAAATATTCGAAAAATATTAAATATTTTCAAATAGATTATTATAAATAATCGAACTTTCATTATTCTTGTTTTATAAAAAGTAAATTAACAAAGCTTAATCAATCGAATTTAAAATGAACATTCTAATAAGTATTATACAAACTGAATTGAAATGTTAAAATTATTTATTTGAAGTATATAGATGATGTTTAGAACTTCAGCTAGAATTAGAATTAAAATCCGAACTATTTTTCGATATTAAAAAAAAAAACTAGTGGTGCATGGGAACGTGCCTTAAGTCAAATTGCTGGAACTTCCCGTACCAAAAATTATTTTTTTAAAAAATATTCATTTGTTTTAAAAAAACGAGATTTTTGAGAATTTTGAAATTTTTGATAAAATTGACTTTAAAAAATTTTAAAGATAGATAGCAAAGTGTGCAGAAATTATAAATTCAGTTTTTGAGAGAACGGAGCATTCGTTTTGAATGATCCAAAAAACATTCAGTTCGCAAGGATGGGAAGAATTACTGATTAGCTTTTTGCAAAGGCCAACCCATTTCGGAGATACGGAGCTAAATGTGCAAAAAATGACAGTTTTTGAGAGAAATAAGCTTCAGGTTTGAATGATTCAAAAAACTTTCTGCTTGTATTGACGAAACAAGTGCTTTTCAAAAAAAATTTTTTTTCAAAAAATTAAAAAAACTACCGAACTAAGCACGGTCTAAGTGATGGCCTGGTACAAATATATTT